ATAGTATAGAATATAAATAGTTTCAACAAAATTGATGAAAATGAAAGAAAGGTTATAAATTTTCAATTAGATATTAATTATATATAGCCAGATTGTTTCACAATTTTTATTAATGTTTTATAATTTACCAAATTATATAACTTACGAGAGGTGCAAATCACGTTGTTTTCTATTTTACATAAATATTTAAAAAAACATGCAATAATTTGCTCAAGATTTTGTAGTAACTGTCGAATTCAATTGTATTAAATAAATATTTGTAATAATTAATAAACAGTCGCGAACCCTTGCTAATGAATATTTATTTTAATCTAAAAAGAATATTTAATGTACAGTCTTATAATAACATTAAAATAATATTTTCTCTTATTTATTTACAGATTAATTTTTATTTTGAAATTCTGATTCTCATCAACAGAGATTAATTTTTAGTTACAACAGGCATAAGGAGAGGTACACATAAACAAGTAAGAGCACATATTAAAATTTTTAAAAAATGCCAAAAATAAAAAGACAATATTATCGACGAGCTAAAGATCTGTCAGATTCAACGATTAATATGGTACAGAGGATGCATATTTGTAATTCAACTTTATTGGAAAGCGCATCCTCAAGTTCAAGTAACAATGTTTCATTACATAAAAATTTCGATTGTGTAAAAGTATCAAATCATTTCTCATTAACGCAGAACGTCTGTAGTAATAATCATCAATTAAACGACGATTTGAATTATCCTGAACAAGTATATAGTAATTCTAATTCTGAAGAAAGCGGCGATGTTTCAAACAATGAATCAATAAATCACATCGATTTTAATATTAATGAAGTAATTAACAATATTAATGTTCGTGCATCTGTTAATCTCGACAATTCGTCTAGTTTTATATTATGGTTTCAAGAATGGGCTATTAAAAATTGTATACCTCATACTGCACTAAACGAATTAATATCAGGTTTAAAATCTAAATATCCAGAATTGCCTTCAGATGCGCGTAATTTATTGAAAACTCCCAGAAAAATAAATCTACGAGACGTAAGACCAGGGAAGTATTACCATTTTGGTTTAAGTAATTGTGTCAAACAACTTGTATCGCGATATTCTGTTCAACAAGTTGTTCGAGTTAATATTAATATTGATGGTCTTCCGTTATTTAAAAGTTCGAACAGTCAAGTATACCCTATTTTATGCAATTTAGTTGAAAATTACAATGATGTGAATATTGTTGGAATTTATTTCGGGAATGAAAAACCTGCAGATGCAAACTTATTTTTGAAAGATTTTACGGAAGAAGTAATAACTTTAACTACTCATGGAATAACAATTAATGATCAAATCTATTCATTTAAAATTAATGCTTTTATATGCGACGTACCTGCTAAATCTTTTATTGCATTTACGAAGGGTCACTCCGGTTATAATTCATGTACAAAATGTTTTGCGAAAGGTGAATATATTCATGATCGAGTCTGCTATCCATATTTAAATAGTTTTCCTTTAAGAACAAACAGTGATTTTAGACTAAAATTACAATCAAATCATCATACAGGTACATCTATCTTAGAATCAATTCCTAATCTAGATATGGTAAAAGATTTTCCATCAGATCCAATGCATTTGCTTTATTTGGGAGTTGTTAAGAAATTGATTGTAAAATTATGGTGTTTTAGAACACCACGATCTAAATTATCGTTTAACGAAATGTCTGAATTATCTAAATTGTTAGAAGTTCAAAAGGATAATATACCATGTAAAATTAACCGAAAATCACGATCACTATTTGAATGTAAAAGGTGGAAAGCAACTGAATTCAGGACATTTTTGTTGTATACGGGACCTGTTGCTTTAAAATTAGTTATTACTTATGATAAATACATTAATTTTTTAACTTTACACGTAGCTATTACAATTTTATCAAATTCAAAGCACATGAATTGTTATTCAAATTACGCTAAATCATTATTAGAATATTTTGTGAATACTTTCATCATTCTGTACGGTAAAGAAAATGCATCAATCAACATTCATAACTTATTACATCTTCATGATGACGTAACAAAATTTGGAACTTTGCAGGAATTTAGTGCTTTTCCGTTTGAAAATTATTTGCAGACAATATTAAAAATGATACGTAAAAATGAAAAAATACTGGAACAAATTGTTTGTCGAATAAGTGAACAAAATTCTTGTGTCAATAGTAATAAAAAACCAAAGACTGTTAGTATTGAACTTCACAATCCACATTTTAATGGTCCATTCGCCAATGATTTAAATTCACATTTAAATTTCCATACATGCAATCAATTCAGTAAAGTTACGTTTGAAAACTGTACATTAAAAACAAAAGAACCTGATAATTGCTGTTGTTACGTCCAAACCCCAGGATATTTGTTTCGGCTTGTAGATAGAGAGAGTGAGTCTCGTGCGTGAACGAGATGGAATTGGAAGTGGAGGGGGTAAGGGAGGACGTAACTAAGTAAGCTATCTCGCAGGTACGCACAGAGGCGCACGATGCGAGTCGAAGGCGCTTTGCAAAGGA